TTTAAGCAGCGCACTAATTTCTTTTTAAGTGAGTCAGATAGACCTAAACAAACTATTTTCTCTGCATTTTGGGTGTTGCTGCAGCTTGATTAATCAAAATGCAATTATTTTGAAAAGACATTAAAAAGGAGCATTGCAAATTTAAGATATTTAGAGTGTATACAATGTATATTTTCATACACGTGTATGAATTTTTGAGTAAAGATCTAGTACAAGGTTTAAGAGAAAGTAGAGGCAGGCACAGTGCGCAGGGTGATGATGGAGAGAGAAGACATGAACACTGTGAGGGGTTGAGAGAGATAGAGCAACAGGGACAGGGTCAACGCTGCAGGGGGATAGAAAGAGAGAGAGATTGGGGTGGTTTTGCACAAGAGAAGGCGCCAGCAATTTGGGTGGAGGGAATGAGGCTGGCACTATGGGAGGTGTTGTGAAGCAAAAGAAGTGGCCAGTGTGGGGGAAGAGATGGAGAGATTTAAATTAAAGATGGTTAAGAATCTGTATATTGTATTTTGCACTGTGGCCTGACAAGCACACGAAAGGTTTCCATATCCACAATGGGAACTGTACTTAATGTGGATATTGGACTACTATACATGGAACTTACTACAGCCAATTAGATACTGCACACTCTCACCCACCAAAGCTTACTCATTGGTAAGGCAGATGTTATTTTATGCTGAGGTAAGTATTTCAACTCATTTGAGAGGGAGGGGAGGGAAGGCATAATCAGGCATAATCTCCAAAACATAATCTCATCAAAAGTAATTACAGAGACCAGCACAAAATTGGAAGGCAGAAGATGACAGTGGCTTGCCTGCCGATATATAAAACAGAACATACAAGTATTCACTCTACATATAATATATCACCCCCAGATGAAGTTAGAACCAATGCAAAGTAGCAATATTAGGATCTCCAACAGGTCACATGTGTCAAGATTAAAATCTATTAAAGCCCATTCAACGTATTTAAAAGCTTCAAAAACAGACTCAACTTTCATATCACTGCCCCACCCTTTGGCATTTGAGAAAAATATCTTTGGTGTGCAATCAGATTAATAATGGATACAATGACTAATATTATGACTAAATATTTTAAATTGGTACATTTTGAAGCACTGAAAGACTTGCGAAGTGTTTTTTGTCAGGCTTGTAACACAAGGTATGAATAGGTTGCACAAATTATCTAGCTATAGTGCAGAAAGCAAGATTTGTTTTAAATTTATTTTATCATTTTAAAATATATATTTATAATCCTTTCATAAAAATATTTATATTCATTCTACCTGATAAATGCCAAATTCCACTTTGATTTTACTTGATGCAACAATAACTTGCATTTTTATAGCCCCCTTCATGTAGGGTAGTGTCTCAGAACGCTTCAAAATGCTCTGCTTTTTNAAAAAAAATACATGTCAATACTTTCGTCACCGACCAGACACAACTACAATACTAATCTTGTTCCTTCAACAGTTCACAGATTTGAAGAATTTTCCCCAAAAACCCAATGTGAAAAGCCTATTCCCTCCCTATACAGAACCAGTGAATGGGCCTTTTCTTTTAAGGCTGAAAGTGCATGATATAGTGAACAAATCGCAAAAGGTGACTTTGCCTTTTCTACACAAGGATTAAAAAAAACACAAATTTAGACTGACACGGCCAGAAAGCATAACAGGAACACAATAAGGTTTCGGCAGAAAAAATGTGGGATCTTTCACAAATTTATATCACATTGCATTACATCCATGCAAGAATACAAAGCCAAGCCATCTGTTCTCTTCACAGAAATGTCACAATACACTCATGCGTTTCTACCATAACTGTAGCAGTCCAGTTAAAACTTCACAAGTAATAATCCTTGCATTCTGATAATAATCTTTGCATTTTGATATAGCGGCTTATCACATCTTCAAGATGTCTCAAAGCACTGCAGAATATACTGTAAAGTGAATTCACTGTATATTTTGTGGGCGATAGCAGCAGCCAATTGCGCACAGCAGTGTCCCACAACAATCATGGATTGAGTGACCAATTTATTATTTTTTAAGGAATTATTAGCCCCGGAAAAGTGATCTGCCAATCAAATAACAACCGGGTTCCTACTTACTGCTGGGTTACTGCACATGTAGAGGCTAAAGTAATTGTGTTTTGTTTGTAACAAGTCATGCCACAGATTCCTCCCCATACATCTGAACCTCCCCCCATACATACACTTTACCCCAAATCCTTCCAGAGTCTAAACAAAACTGTGGCAGCTGTGAAGCACTGCTGCTTCATAGCACGGGTTCCCATGCACCATTTTAATTAAGTACTTGGGCTAGTTGCATACCTTTTCCACTGGTCATTTTTCTGCACCATAAACTATGCTTTCAATAGGCCCAACATATCACTAACCGCCGCGTTAGATTCTATAACACTGAAAAAAAATGTGCATTTTCCCCAAACCTTTACAGAAAATAAGGGCTTGAATAATAATTTGAGAATTAATAACTTTACTCCTGGAAACTCACTTCAGTAATAAATCATGTTTGTTTTATTATATTTCAAGCTAGCCACGCTACTGATTTTCAGACACATTTAGAAACAGCACTATTTGTATCATTAAAATATTAATGATTATATGAACTTATACAAAAGGTAAACAAACTTTGTTTTCAACATAAATCAAATGCCTGCCCTTTGTCCATAAATCAAACTGACAAAATAGAAATAAGTCGGTTTGATCCTTGAACATTTTCAACCACAATTAATTAATCATTTTCCCTATCTTCATAATGCAGTTTCAAGTACAATTGCTAGTTTGCATCATCCAGCCAGTCATCTGTCAATTGCATCATAGGAAGAATGACCAAGAATGCTGTGAAAATCTAAAGAGAAGTAAGCAGCTAAACACTGGATGCCTCAATACCTCTTAAGAAATGGTGAGGAAACCCCCCTCCCCCAACCACCAGAACAACAGAAAATAAACACCAAGATTATGCTCAAGATGACCTAGTGCTTTGTTCCTCCCTCCAGGCACATTCACTGAAAAGGTCTAAACACACATCTGATTTGACAAGCATTCAGGTTGACAAAGAATGTAGTGAAAGTGAAATCATACCTAAGGCATTCAGAGTCTCTGGGTCAAAGGTCACCTAACGGTACCTCAGATGCTTGTTTCCTGCTGAGTTTGGGTAAAAAGGAATTTTCCTAGAAGGAACAAGCTTTGAGAAAGATATCTTGTTTTTAGTTTTGAATGTATGCAAAGCTGTTTAGCTACAACTAAATTTGTATTTATGTTTTTAAAATATACAAATCTTCCTTTTTAGCTGCACAGATCTTGGCTATAAAAGGTATGTGCCTGAAATTCACAAGGCAACGTTACTCAGTACAACATGAACAAACGTTAGCAATACAAAAGAAAGATTGTAAATATATATTCATCCATTGTTGCAAAAATGTATTCAGAAGCAGAGTGACTGGAAGGTTCTTAGTTACTAGTGTTCTTCTACTGCTTGGACAGAAGCTTCAAAACAGTAAAAACTGATATGTTAAGTATCTTTTCTGCCTGAACTCACAGGCAATCTCAGTCCAGTGGTGAACAAAAGTTCACAACTCCAAATTGTCAATAATTCAGCATAAATAGACAATGTCACTCAGACTGGTGTGGGAAGAAGACGTTAACACTAAGTGGAAAGTGGTATTCAAATACAAGGATTATTATTATATTCGAAGGCTGACAATGTTTGGGCAGGGCAGACAGAGCTTGGTGCCAAATGTAAAACTAAACCATGTTCCCAGAATTCACAACCTTCACTTGGAGCACAAAATGCTCAAACACTTTTTAAAGCTGTATTCCAAAAGAGATAATTTATGTTCTTAATTGTTCCTAAATCCCCCTAAAACATCTTGTGTCGTTCATCAAAGTATGATAATTAAAATCTGAATACGCAAGCCAATTTTATACAACAGGTAACCCTCTCCATTTTACTTCATACGATTAGATAGATATCTATTTGATTGACTAAAACAAGTACAGTAAATTGATTCAAATAGTTAGTGAAACTTGCTTATTTTCAGGCTCAAACTCATTATTTAACTCCCAATCAAAATGAGCAAAATAGGTGTATTCACACACAATATCTCAGCACATCAGTAAGATATGAAAAAACACTCATCCTGTTGGTTTCAGTAAAGCAAAGCACGCTTCAAAATAGGAAACAGTCAGGGTAAGTCCCTAACCACGTACCCTCAATTTCAATGGAACGAAGCCCTACTGATGAAAAAATAATCTGTGTAATTTATTGCTCGGTATAACCGAAACACGTTTGAAAACTAAAGATAGAGAATTTAACACTCGGGTAAATACATACATCGGCAAAAGTTGGACATGGCGCGCACGTCAAAAATAAATCATACTTTGTTTATCTGCGTTTACCTGTGAACAGTAACCCATTTCTAACATTTGTACCTAAAGGAAAAATAAATGAAGTAAACGTTTTAATCTGGAGATACCGAGGGCGGCCCTAGTGGGCAGACAGAGCATAACGCACTCTCTGAAAAAAATATTAAAGATTTATGACTGCCCCAATAGGATTAGCGATCCAGAGCTCTTCGCTGTACACTATGTGCCACAATCGGTTATGACCAGGTTTGTTTTTCCTCCTCAGACTGACAGAAACGGACACAACTCAGCACTTTCGATAAAATTGCTTATTGCGCCCACCACGTATATTACCTGTGCGCACGTCCTGCTAAAAAAACACCACCACCACCCAAAACACAGTCATTCTCTGCCTCCCCCACCTCTCTCTCTCTCTCTCTCTCTCTGCAGGAGCGCCCTCCCTCCCTCCCTCCCTCCCAGGCGGCAATCTCATCAGATATTAAAGGACTCACCCCCTCCCCACACACACAGACACACACAGAGGAAACCACACGCGTTAGATAGCCATCGGCAAGACGGGAAAAAACACTGCACATCCCAATAAAAATACAAAAAAAAAGGCTGCAAGTATCAACTACCTCGATAGATTTCGACCATTTCCGATGCTCTATTCATAATTCCTCCCCCCCCTCGAAAAAAAATCTCAAGGTGGGTTCAAACAAAAAACACTCGTCTAAAACACAAAGGAAAATAACCTGACTGCAACCATGGTAAATAAATCTCTCCCATGAGAATGAAGCAGACGGAGGGGCTGAAACTAACACCATTTCTACCTGCACAAGTTGCCATTTGCTGCAGCTTGTCAGCTCGGCTCGACAATCAGGAATCGGTTTCCCTGCTGAATGGAAAGAGTGTTTGGTTTTCTTTTTTTTTAAAAAAAGTCCCCTTTTCACTAACGCATCGTTTTCCTTTTTAGAAAATAATAAAAGATCCAGGTGTTTGCTTCCCCCCCCGCCACCCCCCTCAATCCCAGCTTAACGTCGCAGCCCCATTTTTCAGGTAAACATGTTTACATGGCTCCTCTCTCTCTGGCTCTCTCTCTCTCCCTCCCTCCCTCCCTCTCTCTCTGTGGCTCTCTCTCTCTCCCTCTCTCTCTCTGTGGCCAGGCGCACATGTCACAATTTCGTCAGCAGGAAAAGCCCCTCAACTTAGCATCAACCGCAATAATGATTGTACGAAAATAATTTATAAAAATGCCAGACTAAGATTTTTTTTTGACAAACGTGAAAGTGCGCATCTACTGCAAGAGCAATTTTAACTTTTTTATTATTATTAAGGTGGGGGGTGGTCTGGGAGGGGGGGGGGGGAAATGGAGGAGGGCGATTACACGGGAAAAACGCACGCAAAATCCCCCCCCCTCTCAAATGCGGGGAAACGAGTCTGAAGTTTATAAGGTTTCCCAAAGGAAAAATCCCCCCCCCCCAATCGTCTGAAAATAAACATTGATCATATTTTTTTAAAAATAATTAGACGCAGTTTCCAGACTGGAAGATAATCAACACCTTGACGAAGGCACTAATGTGTGTGTGTATATATATATATATACACACACACACACTAATAATGTTCTCAAATTAGTCACATTTAAGAGAAGAGAAAACACACACACACACAAAAAAGTTTAAATAAACAAGGAAAAAAATGCAAGTCTCTCTCCCCGCTGTAATGTAAATGTATTCCTTATATAGCTTGTTCTGCTGAGAGTCAGTCAGTCAGTCAGTCGGCCGGGCCGAGCCGGGCCGGGCGGCCAGGGAGGGGGGAGGGAGGGAGGGAGGGAGGGGGGAGATACACCACAGCAGAGGGCCCGCAATCCGCTCCCGCAAAACCGTTACCACCCATTCCATTCCGGCACCAAACAGGTACCACCGGGAGAAGGAAACCCAGCGTCCAGACCCGGCGGCGCTCTCGCTCTCTCTCTCTCGATATATATACATATATACACATACACACACACATGTGTATATCGACTTTTTAAAGAAACACATCAAATATTTTTTAAAGACTTTTTTTTGTTTTCACACACGCGCGCGCACACACACCACACACACAAACACACAACACACACACAAACAACACACAACACACACACAAACAACACACACACAAACAACACACACCACACACACAAACAACACACACAAACACAACACACACACACACACAAACACACCACACACACACACAAACAACACACACACAAACAACACATACCACACATACAACACACACAAACATCTCCCAACAGCGCCAGGTATTAAGTTTTCTAATAAAAAAAATCTCTTTCCTTCACTTCAAATCCAATGGGAGTGTGTGGTGGTGATTGGGGGGGGGTGTGGTGGTGATGGGGGGTAGTGCGTGGTGGTGATGGGGGGGTAATGTGTGTGGTGGTGATGAGGGGGATGAGGGGGGGATAGTGTGTGGTGGGGATGAGGGGGGAGTGTGTTGGTGATGAGAGGAATGAGGGGGTGTAGTATGTGGTGGTGATGGGGGGTAGTGTGTGGTGATGGTGAGGGGGTAGTGTGTGGTGGTGGTGAGGGGGTAGTGTGTGGTGGTGGTGAGGGGGTAGTGTGTGGTGGTGGTGAGGGGGTAGTGTGTGGTGGTGGTGAGGGGGTAGTGTGTGGTGGTGGTGAGGGGGTAGTGTGTGGTGGTGGTGAGGGGGGTAGTGTGTGGTGGTGGTGAGGGGTATGGTGTGGTGGTGGTGAGGGGTATGGTGTGGTGGTGGTGAGGGGTATGGTGTGGTGGTGGTGAGGGGTATGGTGTGGTGGTGGTGAGGGGGGGGTAGTGTGGGGTGGTGAGGGGGGGTAGTGTGGGGTGGTGAGGGGTAATGGTGTGGTGGTGGTGAGGGGTAATGGTGTTGTGGTGGTGAGGGGTAATGGTGTGGTGGTGGTGAGGGGTAATGGTGTTGTGGTGGTGAGGGGGTGTGTAGTGTGGGGGGTGTAGTGTGGGGTAGTGAGGGGTAGTGTGTGGTGGTGGTGAGGGGGGGTTAGTGTGTGGTGGTGGTGAGGGGGTTAGTGTGTGGTGGTGGTGAGGGGGGGTAGTGTGGGGTGGTAAGGGGGGGGTAGTGTGGGGTGGTGAGGGGGGGTAGTGTGGGGTGGTGAGGGGGGGTGGTGTGGTGGTGGTGAGGGGTAATGGTGTGGTGGTGGTGAGGGGTAATGGTGTGGTGGTGGTGAGGGGGGGTGTAGTGTGGGGTAGTGTGTGGTGGTGGTGAGGGGGGTTAGTGTGTGGTGGGAAGGAGGAGGGTGAGGGGGTGTAGAGAGGGGAGAAATAATTAAGTAATAGTTTCTCCTCCCCCACCCCACACACACAGAGAGTTTGCGAGGAGTTGGTGAGGTGGATTGATTCCCGGGCAAGTTTGTTGTTAATGTCTGAGTAATTGAATTAATTCGCTCTCTGTGTGCGCGCGTGTCGGGGGTAGTTGGTTGGTTGTCGCGGATTTTATTTATATATATATAAAAATGTGTGTGTGTGTGTGAGAGAGAGAGAGAGAGAGAGAGGTCAGGGGGGAGAGTAAGTGGGTGCGGCGGCGAAGAATAACGGTCCAGGGGCCAGTGAACCGCTAGGGCGGCGGGAGGCCAGGTAACCGCTCTGACACCCCACTCTCTCTCTCTCTCTCACTCTCTCACACACTCACTCTCTCTCTCTCTCTCACACTCACTCTCTCTCTCTCTCTCTCACACTCACTCTCTCTCTCTCACACACTCACTCTCTCACTCTCTCTCTCTCTCACACTCACTCTCTCTCTCACACTCACTCTCTCTCTCTCACTCACTCTCTCACACACTCACTCTCTCTCTCACACACTCACTCTCTCTCACACTCACTCTCTCACACTCACTCACACACTCACTCACACACTCACTCTCTCTCTCTCTCTCTCACACACACACACACACACACAGAGGAGAAACGGCAGCAGAACTGTCCAATTATAACTTTTAACAACACTTTACAATCCCCGCAGCCCGAGCCCCGGCACTGAAGACAGAACAGAAACGCCGCCCGAACACTTCGACCGGGACTCTCTCTCTCCCCCTCTCCTCCCTTCCCGGAGAGCACCTTCTCCCTGACCCTCTCTGGAGTTACCCCCCTTTTGCCCGTGTGTGTGTGTGTGTGAGAGAGAGAGAGAGAACAGTGATCTCTCTCACTCTCACACACTCTCTCTCTCTCACACACTCACTCTCTCTCCCACCTCTCTCCAAACTCCACTCACCGGTTTTCCTCCTCGGGTTCGCCTGCTTTCTGCGCTTACACCTGGGGCCATCCGCCATGATCCGCTCGCTCTCCTTTCATTGATAAGCGCTGTCAAATTCCAGGACGGACGCGCAGCGCGTGCAACCGACCGCCCGCCCGCCCGACCCACCTCTTTGCGACACTTTCCCCTCTCTCGCGCTCTCTCTCTCTCCTCCACCTCCACCACCGCCCGCCTCCCTCCCCCCCCCCATAAATTTTACGACAGCACGCACTCACTCACTCACTCGCTCGCTCGCTCGAGCCCAGTACAGCCGCTGCCCTGGTAACGGGTTACCCAGGAGATGGTGACCCCCCCCCCGCCCCCCACCCCTCGCTGCGCGCGCGCACTCTCTCGCTCTCGCTCTGCGCGTTCGATTCTTTTTTGGGGGATACGTTCTGTGGCGAGAAATTTGAATGGAGCGCGGGAAACCCGCCCCCAATACACCACCGGTCACCCCCCCCCCCGACCCCGGCCCCGGCCCCCGCCCCCACCTCACTGCCCGGCCCCCCCCGACCCACCCCCCCCCGGCCCGCCCCCCCCCCCTGGCCCGCCCCCCCCCCCCCCCGGCCCGGCCCCCGCCCCCACCTCACTGCCCGCCCCCCCGACCCACCCCCCGGCCCGGCCCCCCCGCCCCCACCTCACTGCCCGCCCCCCCCCTCACGCCCCCCCCCCTCACGGCCCCCCCCCCGGACCGCGGTGATCAATAACAACAACAACAATAATCACAAAAATAATAATGGTGGAGTCAGACTGTCGTTTCCTCGCACAGATGAGCAGTTCAGTTTGGGGGTCTGCACCGCGCAGACTTTAGTTGAGAGCCACGGAATCATTTTTTTTAAAAATAATAATCGTTATCATTGTAGTAATAATAATAATAATGATGGAGTGGGGGGACGACAACACAGTGCACACTCACAGAGGGGCTCAGACAGTCGCCGTCGCCATCAGACGGCACAGGACAGGAGTATTTATCGCGTTATGCGGGTTTTTTGTGGGGGGTTTTTGCTCAACAAATAAAGGTTCGCGTAATATTTGAAGTGGCGTTTATTTTTCTTTTAGAAGTGACGTTCCTGTTGAAGGCGCCGATGGAGGGGTTTTGTTTGGAGTGGAATTGTTTCTCTCGGTCTCTCCTCATCCATCGCGCGATGTATTGAGTGCTCAGTGCCGCGCGCGCTGCTGTACCTCTGGCGGTTTTGATGCCGCACTGTGTGGAGGTATTTGCCACAGAGAGAGGGGTTTGGATTGTTTTGTCTTAAACAATTTGGTTTACAGTGTGAGATCTCTCTCTCTGCTCCAAAAGTGCGTAACCGGAGCGGCGATCAACTGTCAAACCCGATCAGCAACTGGGACTCGGCTTTCAGCTGCTCATCTGCACTGTGCCCCTCCCCTCCCCCTCCCCCCCCCTCCCGGGGACCCCCCCCTCCCCTCCCCCTACCCCTCCCCTCCCGGGGACCCCCCCTCCCGGGGACCCCCCCTCCCCTCCCGGGGACCCCCCTCCCCTCCCCCCCTCCCGGGGACCCCCCTCCCCTCCCGGGACCCCCCCTCCCGGGACCCTCCCCTCCCCCTACCCCTCCCCGGGACCCCCCCTCCCCCCTACCCCTCCCCTCCCGGGGACCCCCCCTCCCGGGGACCCCCCCTCCCCTCCCCCCCCTCCCGGGGACCCCCCCTCCCCTCCCCCCCCCCGGGACCCCCCCTCCCCTCCCGGGGACCCCCCCTCCCGGGGACCCTCCCCTCCCCCTACCCCTCCCCGGGGACCCCCCCCCCTCCCCTCCCTCCGGGGACCCCCCCTCCCGGGACCCCCCCTCCCGGGGACCCCCCTCCCCCCTAC